TTAGTAATAACATGAGCAAATAATGCGCAAACCTATCCCACTCTCGAGTGTGAAGTTGCCATGAAATTATTTATAAAGCAAATAACATATATAATTAATAATGAAGGACGACATATAAACTAATGGAAATCTCGATGAAAACCTAAAAGCTAATAAACAATAAAAATAAGCAAACTTATGGCGAGTATCACACTCGTAAATATTATATCTCGTAGACAACAAACACACAAGAAATAATTAAAAAGGAAGAAGATAAATTGACCAATAAGAGTTTGTATTAAAAGACTTTTAGTTTCGATGAAAAAAAGTTAACCATCTATTTCTCAATTTTTTTTTGAGCAAATTGAAAGTATAATGATCACAGAACAAGCATGACCGAACAACACCCGAAATTATATTTGTTAAAAATTAAAATCCAAATGTAAAATAAATTTCAATTATAAACATCTGATTATTAGAAACAATTATACAAAATATATAATTTCAATTAAAGACTTGGCTTATGTTAACATTTTAATGCGAGTAAATTCGAGTTTCTGTCAACCTGAAGAAACCCAAATAATCAACTGTGTAAATAATCTACAATTCAAGAGATCAATTCGCTTATTTTTAAGAGTATAAAACCAAAGTCTTAAAATACATAAAATATAAGTTTAAATCAATCGCATAAAACAAATCAAATCTAAACGGATGACTCGATCTTAACCTTCTTGTCATCCACAAGAAGACAATTTGAGCTATCTTATGATTGGTTTGTTTTATAAAAACATTGTCACACTTATCAGCAACATCCATTACATTAGATATAAACACTATGTTAACAAAGTAAATCGGTATAAAATAACTTACATATCAAGAAAAATACAAACAATAAAGTGGTGGAGAATCTAATGATTAATAGTGAATCACCCTCCAAGCATATTTGATTGATTGGGTTCATGAAAGTTTGATTAAACAACGAATTCTTCACAATCGAGGGTTCATGTATCTTGTTTAAGTATATTGTTCATTCTTTTCCAATTCACATTGTACTTATCAGGAGCCCCATGTCATTAATCTAGATTGGGCGTATAATTTAATTTAAAATAAAAACTTTACAAACATAACATAGATGAAGTCATTATTATTACGAAATTTCTAATTCTACTAACCTAAAGTACATAAAAGAGTTTAGAAATCGACTATGATAAACAAACACAAACATATATAATTAAGAACACAACAATGCGATAAATAAAAGCAAATAATTATTTTTTTCTTTTCGAAACTAAATATAAAATTTCATTCAAACCCAAATAAAAACATTTTTACATCAAATATATATATAACTTTAAGTTGAGTTTTTAGAAAATATATGAAAAGAGGGAAAGGTAAGGAGTTAGAAACAATTTATGTAAGACAAAATTCAATGAAAAGATCGAACAGGAGAAGAACATAAAATAAGTGATGCACGGAAACTTTGATGCGTGCAGGGTTTAGTTGCATATGCAAGTTTTAAATTTATAACCCTATGAA